AAAAGACAAAATTAAAACTTGATTTTGAATGAAGAGATACGTAACGAACTGTGTGAGATGTGGAACTGTTAGTGCTGGAACTGTGCACAGTATGTGTTCTGGTTTTTTTTTCAGGACAAGCAGCAGTGGTGAAAGCTTGTCAATCAGCACAGATAGCATTGTTCCTGCAGGACAACTATCCATTTATTTTTGGCCTCTTTACATTCCAGTGCTTGTGATTATATAGTACTACTTTGAGACCTCACTTCCATAGGATACAAATTACAGATTTGTGACAGAAATCACTTGCTCAGCTTTGATAATAGCTGGTTGTTCTAAGTGATGGAATAATACACTTTATTTTCACTCATTCTGCCATTCACACCCAGGATGACATTTCCTGCTCTTCCCAGGGCCTTGTGTCCCTGGAGTGCCTGTTTGTGCCTCTTTCCTGCTCCCAGCCCAGCACACAGCTTTGGCAAGATCCTGAGGAGCTGCTGCTTCTGCTTATTCCTAATTTTTGTGCCCCTTTAGGGCATAGCATAGTGAGCCTGAGCAGTACTTGCTGTCTGCAGACTGACTTTATTGAAGTTACTGCTTTACAGAACTAGTTCTACATAAGTGCATTGGTTAAGAGATAATGACTTCTTTTTGTCCCATCCTCTCCATTCCCTTGCTGAGGGAGCTGTTGGTTCCCTGGTGTGCTAACAGTGGGAGGAACTGTAAGAGCAGGAGCTGCAGCCTCTGGCACTGAGTTTTTCAGCTGGCGAAAAATCTCAGCCTCCAGTGCAGTCACAGGACTTGTGCTGACTTTGGGAGTCAGATAACCAGATGTTCTTATTGTGAGGAGGGATTATGCTTTTTTGTTTTGTCAGTAAGTGTTGAATAAGCTCTCCAAGCTTTAATGATCATTTCATTGACTGAAGAAAACATGTGGAAATTTTGGAATCTTTTCACCTGGTGTTAGAATCATCCACTGACTCAAAACAACAAAGAGCACCCTCCCTTCTCCCTGGGTCAGAACAGGAATTTCACTGACCTCTCTGTGCATGGCTTGTATTCAGAAGCAGCTCACAGACAATTCAGAGTTGCAGTGGTGTGAAGGAGGATTCCTGCCAGATAATGTGAAGTGCAAAATATTTGTACCATCTTTTGGCAGCCAGATTTGCTCAGTGGTGTTAGCACAGCTCTTCATTTGCACACTTGAAATAGGAGGAACAGTACTACTAATATTAATAGTGTATTAACATATCTAAACCTGTGTTGATTTGCCTTTATTTTGGAGGTCACCTTATGTGATGTTATGTAGGTAGCTGCCTGATGTTAAAAGCTTGAAAGTGAGAGGTAAATTATTTGGCTGATAAGCTGATAAGCACAATCTGTTAAACACAGTTTGAGTAAGCACCATTCCCAGGGGAACTCTGCTTTGTGGTACCTGCACCTCTGTGTTTGGAATTCTCCCTTCCCCAGACTCCAGGGTGGTTTGTTTGTTTATCTGTCAATGGTTCTTTACAAACCCAAAAAAATCTCCCTATACTTCAACCTGGATCTTTATTTTTTTGGAAGCTCTATCCTCCAATCTCATCCATCCTTATTAGATTTACTGCATTGTGTTACTGTTCCAGAAATCTCTTGCTGCATGGATTTCTATGTACGTGGTGAGCAAAGTCTGTATGAGCTTTAATAGTGTTAGATTTAATCCAACCTGCATTCTGTTCTAGAGGGTTTCTCACCGAAATAAATGAGCAATTCTTTGCCTAAGGTGTAATTCTCACATCGGTCATCCTGTCTCTGAAGACCATTTCATCCTGTTTTCTGTATTGAAAACTTGGGATTTAGTTTCCATGACTCCCATTTTCCTACCTGGCTGTTCTTGAGCTGCTTTCTCTGAGTCCCCATTTCCTTCTGAGGTTTTCACAACCCTCATTCCTGTTCCTTTATACCACTGCAGGTTCACCTCCAGCAGAAAGATCCCAGTCTGTGTGGGACTTGTTTGTGCTCAGTGGCAGCACTGAGTCCCTCACCAGTGACTGCAGTGTGATCATCTGCTGTGACACACAGACCTGTACACCCAGTGCCACTCATCCAGCCTTTTCTTCCTTGGAAACATCTCTGCCTTCTGCTTTGTCTAACTGTGGGGGCTGAAAGTATTTTAGGTCCTTAGGTCTTTTATTGATACACAAATATTGGCTTTTTCCTTGATGTGTTTGCTTCAGAAAAGCAAAACTTTTTCAGTATTTCGGCACTTAAAAATAATATGTATAGGGTATTTATTCCCATTTACTTTCTGTTTAGAAATTTTCTTTAATAACAAATTCTACTGCTCAGGGGTTTGAAACCTTCTTAATTTTGGAGTTGATGGCAAAAACAAACATCTGGTTTGCATTCAGTTTGGTTTCCGTTTAACCTCTTTGCTCTGGTCAAGTCAAAATCTTGAATTATTATCATCTTATACCATCTTTCTAATGTGAGTCATCTCTGCTTTAGTATTCCCCTGCAGTGCTTCCCTGTTAGTAAGCCCTACAGCCCTACAGGCTGGCCTGTCTTTATTACATAATATAGAAGTTCATGGTATTTATTTAGTAAGGGAATAACTGCATGTTCTGTATTTTTCTATAGCTCTTTTTTTTCCCCCAGTTTTCCCCCAGTTTTTATGACTTTTTTTATGACATCCAGATACAGATGAGAACTTCAGAGTCCTCCTTACTTGCTGTGTGCTGCCCAGTGGGTAGGCAAGCAGCACCATGGGAGATAAAGAATGATTTGTTAGATGTATTTGCTGAAAAATGCTAAGATTTCACCCACAATGTATGTGGTTTCTGTGCAGGGCCAGTCTTACTGTTCTTCTCATCCTTTTGCTCTGGTCTGCTGTGTATTTTGTTAGACTGTGCCTGGGATGGACAGGACTGAAATTTATCATTTTTAAAGGGATTGCACCTTTAGTTTCAAGACTTAACTGAGCTTTCTTGATCTTACAGTTGTAAACAAGAACTTACCAGACTTGTTTGCTTTCCTGTAAAGACACCAGTTAGTGAATTTCTCAGTGCTCTGTGCTGGTGAAGTGGGAAATTCTGAGCAGTAGCCCTGGGGATAGAACCTTATCATAACATTAGGTATTGTATTATGCCTAAAATGCATTTCTGTTGCATTCCTTGAAGGTTTCTGGAGGAGTGGGCCAAGTCTTGGCTTTATTTAGCTCATCTGTGTAATGAAGCTTGTGGATTTGTAAGGTTGGATGCACGTGCATAAACGTGTGTTTGCACAGACTCAGGGTGTTTTGGGGGGTGGGTTAGACCAGCTGACTTGGACACCCACATGGGTTTCTTAGAAAGGTTTGAACTTGCTCTGACTGTCCTGGTTGCTGCACCCTGTGCCCAGCCCAGCCCAGGAGGTGCTGCTGACAGGAGGGGCCAACAGCAGCAGCTGAGCAGGTACAAACTCCAGTTTGCATCTACTGGTAAGAGATATTGTAAGAAGAGGTCACAGCTTCCCTGGAGCCACACAGAGTTAAGGAAGACCAAAAACAATGCACTTGAACTACTGTAAAATAACTTCTTACAGTCCTGGGATACTGTTTGGAAAACACAATGCTCTACTCAAATCAGGTGTTTTCAGGTTTCCAGAGGAACTCGATACATTTTGAATGACTTTTCATCAGTTTACATTCTAGTGTTGTTGCTTTTGCATCTCCCACCTCTGTCCCTTGTGGTTCTTGTGTAAGAACATAGTGAAGTCTGAACAGATCTGCTGTGCCACAGCCCCAAAATGTTTCCTTTAAGCTCTCAATGTTTGTGTGACACAGAAATATAATGTCCTTGTTTTCAGGACTTGCTATTCCCAGTGGTAATGCTTTAGCCAGAGGAGTATCCTTCCTGTGCTGCAGAACAGGAAATAAGCTGGTTCCTTTCGAATTCTGGAAACAATGAACTTTGTCCTTTGCTTAATTTTGTAGAATTACATTCATTTGATGTTTTGGACAATGCATTGGTTTGTTTTGCTTCCTTGTGAAACACAATGGGAACAGCATGGCATAATCATATGTCCATGATAAGCTATCAAGACTTGATTTAAGAATGTCAGTGTTACATCTTTAATGTGGTTTTTTTTCTCTGGACCATCCCTTGCTCAGAAGGTGAATTTTCACATTGGGGTAATAGCTCTCTCAAAGCTCTAAAGCTCTAGTCAAATAGTCAAGGAGCTAATGAGGCATTGTGACAAATTGATACAGAAACAAGGGGAAGGGAACAGTAGAAGAAAGAAAAGAGCTTTTTTTTTTTGCTTTCTATTTTTTTTTTCCTTGGGAACATTTACAAAAGAGCTGTAATCTTTGAAGGTGTAAGGCCTTTGTGTCTGTATCCTCCCCCAGGTGTTGTGGTTCCTGGTGTAGTGTTTGATGTGTGTCACATTGGTTACTCCTACTGCAGTGATAAGAAACAGCATTTCCTGATGTTTGGAGAGAGGATAAGGTCTGTTCCCCATCATGTCACTTTTTTGGTGTTTCCTGGCTGCTCTGCAGTTTCTTGGGAGTATCCTTAAGGAAAACCAATCACATCCAGCATTTCTTCTAAGATGCTCTGCAAACAGAGTTTGTTGCAGCACAGTGAAGTCATGTGAGATGGTTCAGGACATGTCACAAGGCTCTGCAATCATTATGTGTTCAATTCTTGGTATAAACTCTTTTTGCCTCAGAGTTTGCTCGAACCTGTTAAGGAAGAGCAGTGTTACAAGGGGAATAAAACCCCTCTAGATTGAGATGTATCCTTAATACCTCTTCCAAGGCCTAGCTGCTAGAAGTGATGTATGAGAGAGAGTCCCTTTATCAGATGTGACCAGAAAGCAGCAAACTCAGTGTCCGTGGGGATGGGGAGTAATGTCCCAAACTGTGCCAGGAGCAGCTGCTCTGCAGTGGTCCTGTCAGGAAAAGTTTCTAAAGTTGAAACACTTGGTGTCTTTTGAATGTGTTTTTGCACTTTCAGAGGGATAAGTGTTCTTACATAGGAATGAATGTTTTCTTTTGCCAGTACTTCAGCTGAGGCTACAGCAACGCCGGACACGGGAGCAGCTGGTGGACCAGGGCATCATGCCACGTAAGGATGACACTACTCTGTTCATTGTGAGCTGCATGGAGAAAATGAGGAAGATAAGCATTTCTGTGAGATTTGTTAAAAGGAACTTTAGCATTTGAAAAGACTTGTGGAACCCTAAATGAGCACACAGCAAATCTGTCACACCTACCTCGGGTTTCAGGTGAAGTGAAAACCTTCAGCCATAGAAATATCAAAATCATGTCAAGTTATGATAACAGCCCAGTGTGTGCTGGTGAATTCCAGCTTGAAAGCACAGGATCTTGAAACTAATCTGTTCCTGAAGGTTTTGGAGTGTGCCCCAGAGCTCTGATTGCTTTGCTAAGCATCTTCACCTCCCCAGGTGTGCAGTGCTGGTTACCTGCAGGCCAGAGCAGTGAGCTCCTCTTGAGTGAGACCTGGAAAAAACTTCAAAACTGTCAGAAAGTGGTAAAGGCTGTTAAAGATTTTGGTTCATGCTGTCTCATTTCTGCCAGGAGTGTGGCAAATCAGAAGGATTTTGCCTGCTGCCATTTCAACAAGTCAGCTGAGGTGAAGCACTCTGCAACTTTTGTAATTTCTAGCTGAACAGTGTTTGTTACTCTCTTTGGCTATTAGCAGCTAATCATCATTCTCTTGTCTAATCTGAACTTTTAAGGCCTCCACAAATTTTTTTCAAAAAATCAACATGAATAGTTCTTAGGGGACAGTGTAGTTCTCTCCAATAACACAAGTATGATGTACAGACAGGCAGTAAATACAGTGGAATCAATGAAAGAGTATTTTGACATTCTGAATCTTAGCTCATAGAATTTCTGCTGTGGAACAGTTTTGGTAAATAAACAGTGCTGTACACAGTGAAAAGCTTGACTGTTACATGGTGATACCTGTTAAAATCAAATATCCCATCATTCTATATAGGAGTATTGCTCATCTTTGCTAAATGTAGGTGAAAACAAGTAGCATGAAGCACATGTGAGGCTGTCAGGGGCAGGCAGGACTCGGTGGTATTAGACATCTTACACACTGGTTGGGGTATTTCTTTTGGAAATCTCTTCCTGTCAGTTTAACTCTTACTCTTCCTTGACAGCTTTGAAAAGTCCAGCTGCATTCCATGAGCAGATCAAGAGCCTGGAGCGAGCCAGGGTAAACCACTTCTGTTAACTTGTGGTTGGATAGTCAGGTGTATGGGAGGCTAAATTCTCTGCATGGAAAAATTGCCATTGCAGTAATAATGTGAGCTTTTATCTTGGAAGGACTCGTTAAAATAAAAGTGTCAGATCTGAGAGGGTTTGAACTGCCCTCAGCCTTCACACATCAAGGTGGGGGGACAAACATGGGCATAATGTAACAGAAGTTAAGGACAGGGTACTTGGGTAAACTGTGCTGCTGCAGTATTTCTGTACCAAATCTATACTGTCGTGAGTTTGTGGTGGTGTGGGATCAAATCCAGAAACATTCCCAACAGAAATTCATTAGCACTACTTAACTCATAGGGAAACCAAACGAACCAAAATGAACTCAGTGCCCAGTTCTGACAGTGATGTCTGTCACCTGAATGAAACTGCAAACAGCCAGTGCTTGCACAGAGGTGATTTATTAAAGTGCTCTGATTTTTCTAGTAAGCAGCACTTAATGCTATTTCCTCCCTTCTTTCTAGACTGAGAATTTTTTGAAGCACAAGATTCGCAGCAGGCCGGATCGCTCTGAGCTGGTCAGAATGCACATCCTGGAAGGTATGTGCCCCTCTCAGGAGGGGCCTGTTGTGCACTCACTACACTCCCACCTGAATTATTCCTAAAGGTTTATATGCTGTTATTTCTCTACTTCTGCAGTGTTATTACAGCCTGTATGCTGATCCTGTATGCTAACAATACACCTGTGGCAGGGCAGGTGTTCCCAGCAGTGTCCTTGTTTGCTGTTGCACATTGCTCTTGTTCTGAAATGGTCATTATGCTGTGGGGTATGTCCATGGAGTCTTGATATTGCCCTAAAATGACCTGGCAGCCTTGTGCTTCTGCTGCCCCAAGGGCCCTCAGTGAGGGCTGTTCTGCCCTGTGGGTCCCAGTGTTGCTCAGGTCATTGGAACAAGTCTCTGTATGAACAGGGATGCCAGTGTTGCTCAGGTCATTGGAACAAGAGTCTCTGTATGAACAGGGATATACTGCTGTGTTTTACCACAGGCTTAGCAAGTACAGAAATTACCAAGTGATCATAATCCAAGTGAATTTAATAGCCATTAGTTTTCAAAAAAAAAGTCAGAGCAGAATATTTCAATCAGTGTCTCCTCGTAGAGACCTTTGCAGAGCCTTCACTCCAGGCCACTCAGATGAAACTGAAGAGAGCTCGACTGGCAGATGACCTGAACGAGAAGATTGCTCAGAGACCTGGTCCTATGGAACTGGTGGAAAAAAATATTCTTCCTGTAGACTCCAGCGTTAAGGAAGCTATTATAGGCAAGTAGAAATCCCACAGCTTCTCCTGGTTCTCTGCATGCATTGTGGAAAAGAGTCATGTAACTCTTGAGGGTAAAGCTCACTAGAAGAAAACACAGGCTAAGTTTATTACTACTGATTTTTTTCATTCCCAAACTCTGTCATCATTTTATTTTTATCTGGGACTTTGGTTACAAATGCATCATTGGACTATAATAGTCTTTGAAAAAAACTTATTTCTTATCAGAAATGGTGATAAAATAATCAAACATCTGTGGCCATTCCTCAGCCTGTTGGAGGTGTCTGTGCCTTCCACATCTGTTGGTTACACCTTTTAGTCACTTGCTGAAACACTTTGCTCTGTGCTTGGTTCTGTGGATCCCTTGAGGATAACTTACATTGCTGTCAGTATACTGAAAACACAAGGAATACTTAGGTACATGTCAGACTGTGCTGAAACCTGATCATTTGTCAGATATTGGCAAATTCTGCCATGAATGTCTAAGGTTAATTTGTGCAACTGAAAAAAAGCAAAACTTTGTTTGTTTCTTTGTAAACATTGTAGCAGTTGGACAAGAGAATTATCCTCAAGCTTTGGATGATTTTTCCTTCGATGAAGACAGCAGTGATGCTTTGTCACCAGATCAGCCTGCCAGCCAAGAATCCCAGGGCTCAGCAGCTTCTCCTGGTGAGCCAAAAGCAAGTGACTCACCATCACCTGTAACCCCAAACGCTGCTACGTCGACACAGGTACAGCTTTGAAATGGGAAAACATTCACAGTGTGTTTTCTGACCTGGCACCACAGACATGAGGGTTCACTCGGGGTCACCATGTGCTGCTGCCAAGGGGTGTCTGTGCTCTGTTGGGGAGTGCACAGACTGCAGCTCTCCCTGGCTCAGAGAATTCCCACAGACTGTAGTGAAGCCATAAATCCTCTGAAGTTCATTGTGAGCCATGGAAGAGCT